GTGTGTGCACAAGAGAGTACAGCCAAAACATTGAGTAATTTTTCAACAATCATAGGGTGATGTGATATACTAGGAAAAAATTAAGAAAACAAGGACAAAATAAAGCTTGGGGATCACTTAACTCTTATAAGTAGAGATTTTCCCTCAGACTAAACACCACAAGAAGACAGCTAACAAATCAATAAATACTTACTAGGCACGTACCATGTAAAAAATACAGTGTTCCACATGATATTTAAAATAATCTTTGGATATCCCTAAGTGAATTCTGAAAGTAAATATTTCTTAAGATGAAACATTTTTCAATTTCAACATAATACAAGCATCTGGTAGACGCAGAATTATTTAGCATCTCTCCCAGCCCTCTGGCACCATCTAGTGGTAAACTCATGAAACCGCTAAAGAAAACGACTAGTGTCCTACAAGGCCTATATATTAGCCATCCCTGCCGTCCTCCTTCAGCCATCTTTAGTGCTAATGTACACACTCACTCTCTCTCTCTCTCTCTCTCTCTCCCTCTCTCTCTCTCTCTCTCTCTCTCTCTCTCTCTCTCTCTCCTGAAGCTGCCTAGAAAAATGTAAGATGAAAATGTTCTGTAAGATGAAAATGTTCGAAAAGAATAATTAAAACCTATAAGAAGTTATCTTACGCATGTAAAAAGAACAAACACTAAAAAGGCTCCAATATACATGAATGCGGGGAGAAAATGCTACAATACTGACTGCTTTTTCTTAATTTACATACATAAAAATAGAAATTAAATACAATTCATCTATGAGTTCAAAAGTACAAAAAATCACTTATTAGTGTTGAAGAGGGAGGAAGAAGGCTGTCAGTGTTAAAAATTTTAACTAGAAACTCATGGGATTCAAATGGCAACTTTTGTTTTGACTATTCTTACGTTTTTGTTATAAACCACAATGATGCGATAAGAAAGCATCTAAAATGATAAAAACGGTTCAGGCTTTCAGGTACTGTAGCTATTAGACCATATATCCTTTTTTTCTCCTCATTTGGAAACTCAAGATATGGAACTAAATCGGAAATTCCTTTATCTCTAACCGCTTCATAGGCAAATATTTTTAATAAAAGGGGCCAATTTTTCTTTGAATAATGCTGGACAATAATATCCATTGGCAGCAGTCTGGGTGGTCTTCACAACAACTCACAGAAATGAGCCACGTGCCTGATTAAATCAGCCTGGCTTATGAACAGGGTCTCGAATAGTCACCAAATTTTTCAGAACCTCCAAGTCTAAGTCTAGGTTTAAATGTGAAGAACAAGACTTTCCAGAAACACTCTGNGTAATGACGCTGACATTTCCATTCCGAATAGTCCATGATGCAGGATTTGGACCTTGGTACTTCAAGTTTATCCTCTGCAGATACACTTCGGTTTTATTTTATGCAAACATGTATACTTCCATCGTGTTTCTTGGGCTGATAAGCATTGATCGCTATCTGAAAGTCGTAAAGCCATTTGGGGACTCGCGCATGTACAGCCTAACCTTTACAAAGGTTTTATCTATTTGTGTTTGGGTGATCACGGCTGTTTTGGCCTTGCCAAACATCATCCTAACAAATGGTCAACTAACTACAGAAAATATTCATGACTGCATGAAACTGAAAAGTCCCCTGGGAGTCAAATGGCATAATGCAGTCATTTATGTCAACAGTTGCTTATTTGTGGCCGTGCTAGTGATCCTGATTGGATGTTACATAGCCATATCTCGGTACATCCATAAATCCAGCAGGCAGTTCATAAGCCAGTCAAGTCGAAAGCGAAAACATAACCAGAGCATTCGGGTGGTCGTGGCTGTGTTTTTTACCTGCTTTCTACCCTATCACCTATGCAGAATTCCTTTTACTTTTAGTCACTTAGACAGACAGTTAGATGAAACTGCACACAAAATCCTGTATTACTGCAAAGAAATGACACTTTTCTTGTCTGCATGCAATGTGTGCCTGGATCCAATCATTTACTTTTTCATGTGTAGGTCATTTTCAAGAAGGCTATTCAAGAAGTCAAATATCAGAACAAGGAGTGAGAGTATCAGATCACTGCAAAGTGTCAGAAGATCAGAAGTCCGCATATATTATGATTATACTGATGTGTAGGAGCCAAAGACCACTGGGCCTTCTCTTGTTTGTTGAGGTCAATATGTACAAAGTGTAAATAAATGTTTCTTTTGATTAGCCTTGCTTCAGCCCACTGAAATAAGCAAAACCAGAGAGCTAAAGGGGTATGAAATCTGGGGATAATTTGAAACTAGGAAAAATATGAAGGCATACCCAAAAGTGAGACGAACAGGGTAGCATGTGGCTGAGGGGCGGGTTTGTGACTCAGAGCTGAAGGAGCAGACTGCAGAGGCAAAAAGGGCCACAGCCGGGGAATGCCGCCGCTCTGAAGCCACGTGTGGGAGAAAAGAAGGAACGTATAGAGAAATAAACTCTTTCTAGCCTTCAAGTTTCGGATTGGGAAAAGAACATGCTGTTTTCAATACAGCTCATTTATTGCAGAGATAACTGAGCAAATATTGATTGCTAGGCGTTCTTCTGTCATTCCATTCGTGGATACGCAGGACCTTCAGCCGACATCCCTTAACTGCTTATCAATGTCTTAGGCGCATTAGAAAAACGTGTGCAGTGTGGGGGTAGGTGGGAGAAGGCTCAGCCATATTTTTTAAGCAATGTATTTGAAAGATTGCATTCAATGCACTGACTTTAAATGTAGGCTATTTCAGAGAAAGAAAAATGTGACTGAATATTAAGACAAGTAGATCTTGTATGAGAAACACTCTGAACATCTGTTCGCTATACGATACACTATTCTGCATTTAAATCCTCATGTGCTAAGGGTACAGAAGACAATATGGAAGCTTGGTTAAATAGTCAAGTTAATGTAGTTTATCAAAAAGCCATTTAATAGTCTTTATTTTAGAAAAATTATTAGTAATTATTAGTCTTCCCTTCAAGCCTTAGCCCACCTTTAATCAACAATATCATTAGTTTAAAAAAGATAACCTTAAGTTGAAGGATAGAGTTCAATAAATCAAGTCCAAAGAGTACAAGTGACCTTTTGAATCTTACAATATTTTCTCCTTCTCTAAGAGACACCTTAAGCCCTCATTCTTGCCCAAAGCCTTCAGCTGCACGGGCGCTGCCCACGTGCCTGAGGTGTTGCTCACAGCGTGAGGAGCTGGGAAGCATGACAGGAGGGGCGAAGGCACATCTGTCGCCGAAAGAGGACATCACACTTAACAGACAAGGCACACACGTACTGCATATGACAGTACGATATTCTATTTAGACTTTTAAACTATGTGCAAAATTCTAAAAAGCTGAAGTGAGCAAAAACGAGGGCACGAGAATAACTTAGCTGAATAATGATGACCCTCGGAAGGTATAAGAACAGAATTCGGGAATTGGTCACTATCTAGGTGAGTCAGGTTTGGCAGAGGGGTTGCAGCAAAGGGGTTAAAAGAATTACCTGAGGATCTCTTATCAAAATGTCCACCTCTCCATCAAAATTTCAATTCCATAAATCCTACGAGCACTCCAGTATGTGAGTTAATATACACCTCAGTTGGTCATTTGAATAAGCACTCTTCTCCCCTAATTGTGTGCCATTAGCTAGATTAAGTTAGCCATGTTTCGGGCCCGCCAAGTAGCCCAGTTGCTTAAGAGTTTAGCTTAAGAGTGGGAGCTCTGAACAACAGGGCCGCCGGTTTGATTCCCAGATGGGCCAGTGATGCGGCGCCTGAACTGAGCTGCCGCTGAACTGCCAACAGGTGGCAGGATGGCTCAGCTGGTGTAACAACAAGATTGCCTGTTCAATGGTGAGCTACGCCCACCCACAACTAAGACTGAACACAGCACGTTGAGCTTAGAAGCCACGAGCTGCTGACGGGCAGCCAAGTGGCAACTGGCGCCCTCCACAACTAAGATTGAAGAACAACAACTTGGCTAGTCTCCTTGCCCAATTCCCCAACTTAAAAAAAAAAAAAGGAAAAAAGATAGCCATGTTTTACACCAGCTCATGTGAAAAGAGTTTGAAAGGCTAATTCCCTTCTCCTTCCTCCCCATAATGCCTAGGATGAGTAACAGCTACTCTATGTAAAGTGAAGGAATAATACTGTGGCTGGAAAACACCCTCAGTAAAATGTGTCTTATCCCCTCCATTCCCTACTTCTCTCCACTACATCACAGCTCCCAACCAAATATCTCAAAAATGAATTACCTACTTCACTGTGTGTGTGTGTGTGTGTATAAATATGCACATATACAAGTAAATATGCACACATAATGCATGATCACTTAGAACCCAAAAACTAAGACCCTACCATCTTTAATATCATCAAGGGACTCCATCTGGCACTCTGGAATTTACCAAATACTTCTCTACCTGACTTCATTTAATCCTCTAATCCAGGCCCCAATTTTAAGAAGTCTTTAAAATATTTTCATCCCATATTAATGTTTCTAGAATTGGATCACTGTATTTAATGTTTCTAAAAGTTGCCTCATTTAATGTGATGGTGGTTTTATTCTCTGAAATTGCATGATTGTATCAATGCAACCTCTTAAAACACTGACTTAGAAAAAGATAGATCATTATCCCCATTTCTTTAAAAACGTCATATTACAAAAAACATCAAAATCATAGGGCTTATATTTCACATCAATGTCCATACCGTGGTCATAGAAATTATTTATGTAAGCCAACCACGAATGAATTACTTATATGAGTAAAATAAGAATAATATCAATGGGAATAATATAAAATATTGTGCTAGTGTCAGAAGTTAATACATAATACTACATTAGTATTGAAGAAAATAAGAATTCTATTTGAATACTTTTTAAAATTAATTGATAACTTGGAAATAATCTGATATCTAAAACTTCTTACATGGAACTTTTGGATTTTATTCAGTATGTCAGGATCTTCTCAGGTAGCAATAAATAAAATACTTATTCTTTGTTTTATGCATAAGAGAAACATATTCAGGCAATTTCAAAGAAGAAATTTTTTTTCTATTCTTTCTAACACATTCAAAGAAACTAACTTCTAGAAAATCTTTCAGTGTCTTACTAAATCTGTTATATTCATTATACTATTCATACCATTTTATTCTCATTTCCAAACAGTATACCAGTTTTTTTTTCTCTATTGAAGCTATAAGGGAATGTTAACCAAGAAAATCCACACAAATAGATTAAATAGATCAGGCAAAATTGTGTGTGTGTGTGTGTGTGTGTGTG